GAATTCCAAGATTGGCATGTCCACCGACTTCGGGGTCGTGTTACTGCATTGTCCAATCGGTTTCTCGTCGATATCGAGGGCGGACTGTCGCTGGCGTCAAAGTGGGTACGGAACACGGTCCGTCCCCACTTACGGGGACCTGCGGACGGGCCACCCCTCCCGGCAGGGATCCAGCATGCATGCCGAGACCACCTCGAGCTTCTTATCTCGAGGCTTGTTAGCTTGCAGGACTGGTATATAGCGAGATTCGCAAGAAGATGTCGTTTGGAATAGTTTGCTAGCTTGGCCCATAGAAGCATACCCTGATCTCATCGCGTAATCGGCTCCATTCATTGCTCAATCCTTGCTAACCTCGTGAACATTCGTCTAAGTCTTTGGCCAAATTGAACAGTATCAAGATGAACTGGCTCGGTCGAGGAAAGTCCACCGACACCCCCTCCTCAACTCCTTCAGAGCCCCAGTCCGTCCGAGCCCTCCCCGCATCATGGTACCGCTCACCGGGCATGTACGAGCTAGAGCGCCGCGCCATCTTCTCGAAGCGGTGGCTGCTCGTCTCGCACAAAGCGCGCTTTGTCGAGGCCGGTGACTTTGTGCAGATCACGGAGGCGGGGTTCAACTTCTTCCTCGTCAAGGACCGTAAGGGTGAGATTCGGGGACATCACAACGTCTGCCGGCACCGTGCGTATCCGCTTGTGGAGACGGACAGCGGGCACATGAGCGTGCTTGCTTGCAAGTATCATGGTATGTGCGGCCTGTTGAACACGGGGTCTGATGAATGTGCTAATACGAGGCGCTTCTTAGCTTGGTCATATGGTTTCGACGGCAAGTTGGCCAAGGCGCCCAAGTATCAGGAGCTCCCGTCCTTCGATAAGACGCAGAACAGTTTGTTCAAGGTCCATGTCCATGTAGACCAGCTTGGCTTCGTCTGGGTTAACCTGGATGCGTCGGAGAAGCCAGGTGTCTCGTGGGAAGAGTTCTTTATGCAGGTTGACGAGCAGCCGCGGCTGCAGAACTTCAAGATGGATGACTATGTGTTTGATCATGCGTGGGAGATGCTTGGTGATTACAACTGGAAGACTTTGGCCGATAATTACAATGAGGTATGTGTGTTTCTGCACAACGACGCCATAGATCGGTCTGACCAGAATCATGTAGTGTTACCACTGTCCAACAGGGCACCCCGCCGTTGCCAGCACCACAGACCTGACCAAGTACTGGGTCGAGACGAGGGGCAACTGGATCCAGCACTGGAACGTGGACAAGCCGGATGTCCAGGGCCTGGGCATCTACAGCACCTTCTACTACCCCAACGCGTCCATGACTGTCACGTAAGCTCGTACATCCCCAATCACTGACACTCAAACACTAACACCATCACCTTCGTTCACCAGACCAGATTTCATGTATATCATGCGCTGCGTCCCCGTCTCCGCCACCCAGACGAAGATGGAGTACGAGGTGTACCGTAACAAGAACTCGACGGAGGAAGAGTTCACCAGCATCTCCGAGTTCTTCAAGCAGGTGCTTCGCGAGGACAAGGATCTCTGCAACGGCGCGCAGAGGAACCTGAACGCGGGCATCTTTGTGAATGGGGAGCTTCACCCGCGGGTGGAGAAGGGGCCGCTGTTCTTCCAGCAGGTTACCCGAGATCTCGTGGTTAGTCATAGGCAAAAGGAGGTGAATGACGGCGGGGAGATCTGGCCCGCTACGCCTCGGCACGAGGTCTCCAAGAAGACGGATGAGGATGTGTCTTTTTGTAAGGGCCTTGATTGTATTGCTAGTCCTGAGCGGATGGAAGGGTTGGCTTGGTGATTAAACACATGCGTCGAATTCTCTGTGGAACTTCAAGATTGTAACTAACCTGCGTATACCAAGAATGAATTTGCATAGCTATGTCCCTAAATTCAACCAATCGTCAATCGCCCGCCCGTAATCATTCCCATCAAAGAACCTATTAGCCTGGTCTCCAAAAGGCCCCACCCCTTCGAAGAAGATATCCTCAAATGACGGCCCTCCCGCCAAGTCGCCCACCTGCGCGTCGAGGCCTGCGTTCTGTGGCAGATCCACGGGAGGCGGATCTTCGTTGGGCGGCCAGACGGCCGCTTCGTTCGGCATGGCCTTGTGTCCGGATATGCCCGCCGACCCCACGAGGTCGAACTCGGCAGCCCGGTCCTCGGCGGACAGCTCTGCGACGTCGGCCTTGAGCGTCGGCCCGAACATGGACTGGTCCCAGCCGGCGTCGGGGCGGACTGCCTTGTCGTAGATGAGCAGGTCCCATAGAAGCTGGCTGTTGATCGAGAAGGACCGGCTCTGGGAGGACCCGTCTTGCTGAGCGGGTGATGGTCTTAAGACGATGCTGTCCTGAAGTCTTCTCAGGTTGTTGGCCTACTCCGCGTCAGCCTGCACTCTCCACCACATCAGCTCACTCACCATGTTGGCAACACAAGGCCACACAGCCCCCATCCTCCTCAAAAACCTCATACACTTCTCAAACCCCGTCTGCGCCTTCCCCCTCAGCAGATCATCCTGCACAAAGCTATGCTGCAGATGGATCGTCGCCACAATCACCACACAATGCGCCAGCACGGGATCCGACACCTGCACGTCCTTCTTCTCCAGCACATCCACAAAGTAAATCACCCACCCGGCGTTGCGGTTGATCGCCTCGAAGGACTGCTGCATGAAGTACACGGGAATCGTCTGCCGGAAGCTGCGCAGGCGCATAGACAGCAGGAAGGGGTGGTTGAGTAGGCACGGAATCGTCTCGTGCACGAACTGGATGAAGAGGAAGGGCATCCACCAGTGGCGCTGCGCCTGGATCGCCTCCGGGGCGTAGTCGCCGATGCGGTTGCACGCGAAGCGGTACTTGGCGGACGCGCGGCAGTCGATGTCGTGATGGGACTGCATGACGGTGGAGTAGTCGGAGCGCGAGTCCCAGGGCGGCGGGGCGTCGGGGGAGACGCGCGAGGCGGCGTAGGCGCGGGCGAGGCGCCAGGTGACGCTGAAGTGGGAGGCGAGGGTGGAGATGTTGTTGTCTGGGGCGGCGTCGTCGAGGTGGGAGAGGGAGGGGGAGGTGCAGGGGGCCAGGCTGAGGTTGTGGCTTGTGTTGTGGAGGGAGGCGGTGGCGGGGACGATGCAGCCTTGTAGGTTTTGGAGGGCGGCGATGCCGCGGAGGCAGAGGTTGAGTTCGTGGGCGGTGCGCTGGTTGCGAGAGGGCGGGATGGAGTGGGAGAGGTGGGTTGCGATGCTCAGGTTGAGGCCTGATTGTGTGACGTTGCCGGCTGTGGTGGTGTTAGTACGGAGACGAGGATTTGAGGATGTTGGGGTGCAGTACTTGCAAAGTCGAACATGCTGAGTAGACATAGAGATTGCAAGGTTGAGAGCTCAACTCGTCCTTCCGTGACGCGTTCCATCACCATGCGCCTCGTGGACCTTGCCTTGGTGTTGAGCTGCTGTTCGGCATCTGGAGTCAGTGACCCGGGAGGAAACCTGAGCACCAATGCTTGTAATGAGAGGATCAGCTCTGGATCTCGAGTCGCAAGTGAAGTCAAGAAGCTCTCTTCGTGGAAGAGGGTGATTGGTTGGCTGTGACACCATGTTAGGTACAGGCGACCAATTTCATTGAGATGGGTTTCTGTCACAACAGATATGCTGCTGTTCGGGGAAGGTCAGCGAAGCATTCTTGTCACTGCGAATAATGAGCCAAAAATACCTGGGACTCTCATTTTGTACAGGACGGCTTTCATGCCTGGTAACGGCGACTTCCGTCACTGTACTAGGCTTTGGTGATGGTATGGGGTTTGAGGATGACGGACGCCGAGGTTGAGGGTCAGGACTGTGAAAGAGTCAGGAGTGGAGGCGGAACAGCATCAAAAGATCTAACCTAAGATGTTGAATCAATCGATCCATCTTGTCTTCGAGGCTGTTCATTCGGTGTTCCTGTTATGCGGGAAATCAGCTTCATTTCATTATTTCCGCCAAGCCAACCCCTGTGGTGTCCGTACCATCTCTCTGTTGTGCTTCGTCTGATGCGTGTCGACAACTTCGGCGGACGAATTGTACACGCATTGCTGGCCAAGTCTCTCACAATATGAGCATATTGGCCTTTCCCCAGGACATTTCGACTTCTTTTTGCTAGTGCTCTATCGTCAGATCCGCGGCTATGAGGTGCGGGGAGAGTGGCGGGTTGTCCGCACCGGCACGGCTCGCAGGCCTGACGCGCCCGCTTAGCATAGCGAGCTTCGTCCATGGCAGTCGTTGAATGGGAGAGCTGTTGATGTATCTGCATGAAATTAGATTCACGTATGATTTAGCATTGAAAAATGTCTAACTTACCTAGACACGATGCTTTTGATTGACGCCGAGATTATTGAGCCCAGACTGCCGTCATTGTGCCTCACGGCTCAGGCGGGCCAACGGGCATACGATGGCTCTTAGTGCAAGACACCGGGTTAAGTACGGTTTCTCTTAATCAGATAAGTCGTTTTGTGTCTTATCAGCACAGCAAGTTTCGCGGTCCTCCTGTTGGAGATTGGAAAGGATGTCAGTGTCTGGGGTTGGGTTGGGTCGGTGTCCCCGCAGTTTGCTGAAAAGATAAACGGCGGCCCGGGTGACGCATCCGCGCCGTGGGGAAGCCCCACCGCTGGAGATAAGGCCTGGACGTTGGAGACTTCCTTTTATTCATTTTAGAGATACCTACTCGCCAACAGCTGCAGAGAACGAACAGGATTGACAACTTTGACATGTAGTAAGTCGAGCCTGAGAACTTTTAATGAGAATGATTATTAAAACCACGGCAAGACTAATTGGCCTCACAGCTGCCAGCAGCCACCCAGTAACATTACCAGAGATGCCCTGAGTGGCTTTGAACCTTCCACCAGATTTGGCCTCAACAACGATATTCCTCGGCTCTGAATGGACATCTTGACGCCACCGCAGCAGGCATCCAACATGCCTTTATAACCTATACCTCTGTCACAGAGTATCAACAAGAAACCCAAGGGGCCGTGGCTCAACGGTAAAGCGCTCCCCCTCCAGAGTCTCAGTCCCCGGACACACTGAAGGTAAGTATCCAGAGACCCTGCCGGGGGAGAGATGGCGTGTTCGATTCACCCCAGCTCCATCACTTTTGTCACCATCAGTCGATGATGTGCTTCCGGCGCCGGGCCGAGGCCCACTCGGCACCCGCTCGGACGGGCCGCTCCGACTCGATCGGAGACTGATACTACCTGGTGTCTCCATTCGCAGGATTGAGAACACCAGGGCCTGTAATAAGGTAGACCCGGCTCATGCAGTTGATGGTAGAAAGGTGCGGACTTCCGCTGGGCTGGGTGAGCGCTTCCAATTCTCTCGTGTGCCAAGAAAGGTCAGCTTACAGACGCTTGGAACTTGAAGCTTTCAAAAATACTTACCTCAATGTGGTTCATCTAATCTTTAATCCATCCCAAACACAGCAACAATAAAACAGCATCCTCACCCAGGCATTGAAAATGACATCATGCGCGTTGGACCCCTTTCACCTCGCATTTGGAGAACTGCAGCAAACGACTGAACTTGGTGCTCCGGCAGACGGAGGCGGACAGGGATGCCCCGCCGTCTCAGTCAGCTCTTCAGTGGTCGTAAGCCAATCAGCAGCCGCTGAAAGGGCGCAGCGCACGCGAGAACCAGGCACCCCGCAGTCCCGAGATCGGCGCCCCTCCAAAATAATTCGGGCGGTGCGGGACACTTTCCTGTGCTGCCCTGCACACGAATGACTCCCTACCTCCTAAAATTTCGGTGTGTCACGCAACGAGGAGCTCCATCCATCTCTCCACGATTCAAGCATCTTCACCGTCGAGACGCCTCCTCAGAGTCTCTCAATTGACTTTCTGCACCTCCGCTGACGCCTGCGATACCCTTCGAATCCCCTCCAAACCCCTCGAGCAGACACAATCACCACCATGGCCGCCTTCCCGCCCCCTCCGGTCAACACCATTGACTGGTCCAACGTCGGCTTCAAGGTCCGCGAAGGTGAACACCCCTCCTTGCCGGTCCACCCCCGTCCTGGATAACCTCAGCTAACCTCTCTCCCCTCCAGTCAACGGCCACATCGAGTCCACCTACTCCGTCTCGACCGGCCAATGGACCCCCCTCAAGTTCGTCGCGGACCCCTTCATGCGCATCCACGGCATGGCCCCGGCCCTCAACTACGGCCAGCAAGCCTACGAGGGCCTCAAGGCCTTCCGCGCGCCCGGTGACGCCACAATCAACGTCTTCCGCCCTGACAAGAACGCCCTGCGCCTCCAGCACTCCGCCGACGTCGTCTCCATGCCGCGCGTCCCCGAGGCCCTCTTCCTCGACGCCGTCAAGGCCGCCGTCTCCCTCAACGCCGGCTACGTCCCGCCCCACGAGACCGGCGCCGCCATGTACATCCGCCCCCAGCTGTACGGCTCCTCCGCCCAGCTCGGCCTCAACCCGCCCGAGGAGTACATCTTCGCCGTCTTCGTGATCCCCACGGGCGTCTACCACGGCACCCACCCCGTCAACGCGCTCATTCTCGACGACTTTGACCGCGCCGCGCCGAACGGTACCGGACATGCCAAAGTCGGCGGCAACTACGCGCCCGTGCTGCGCTTCAGCGACCGCGCGCGCAACGAGGGCTACGGGATTACGCTGCACCTGGATAGCGTGAAGCACGAGGAGATTGACGAGTTCAGCACGAGCGGCTTCATCGGTGTCAAGAAGGACGGCGAGGATGTTACGCTTGTTGTGCCGGATTCCAAGTGCGTCATTGACAGCGTGACGAGCGACAGCATCCAGCACATTGCCCGCAGCTTCGGCTGGAAGGTTGAGAAGCGCGTCGTAAGTCATTCCCTTTTGCGACTTTATACATGCCCATTATAAGAGCACTACACTAACCAATGACTCTTCACGCAACACAGATCAAGTACAGCGAGCTCCCCACCTTCTCCGAAGTCATGGCCGCCGGCACCGCCGCCGCCCTGGTGCCGATCCGCTCCATCACGCGCCGCGTGGACCCGTCCTCGGCGCAGGCCCTCGCGGGCAAGCAGCACGAGCGCGTCAGCAGCGCCAAGGCGGGCGAGGAGACGGTGACGTACATCCCCGCGAGCCAGGAGGACGCGGGCGAGACCTGCCTCAAGCTGCTGTCGACGCTCAAGGGCATCCAGCTGGGCAAGCTCAAGGACGAGTTCGGCTGGAATGTGGCCGTCAGCCAGGCGGACGGCACGGCGGTCGTGGGGGAGCAGAAGACCAACGGCTCGGCGACGACCGTTGACCAGATGGACTAAAGAAGTGGGTGTCTCTGGTTAGGTGAGAGGAGGAGGGAATTTGAGTCCGCTGCCTGGGGGCGTCGGCTGGACTGGCCCGGAACAGCATGGTCTGGGCTACGTCGGCGCCCGGGTGGCTTGATTTAAGAATAAAACAGTAAAAAATGGGAAGACGCGCAGGAGAAGAAGGAGGGAAAAAGCAACGGTCTGGCAGAAAATCTTGTGCAGTACCCGTGGTTGTGGGGGAGGCATATCTGGCGTCTCGCCGGTTGTTTATATGGGGGGGATCAAATCTACCTAGCGCGAACACTCGAAAAAGCCATCAGTCTATCCACTTGGCGGTCTGACAATTTGCAGTGAAGTTTTGTCGAGGGGAAAGAAGACATGACTGGAGACGGAAAAGTGGTGATGGTGTTAGGGTCCAACACAACAACAACAGCCCCTGAGCGGCGATGGTAAGCTGCGGCCAGAGCTCGAGATCTTCTGCGAGATTTTCTCCTTGCGAGATTAAGTCAGAAGAGGGAAAAGAACCGTACGCTGTCGAGATGGATACCAGGAATCTGGTTCGACACGCGCCCTAATCAAACCTACCTACCACAAGCATGGCATGACAGATGACGGACGGCGCTTGTTGATGGCACATGGCCTTGGTGAAGAGTGAGATGCACGAAATTGGTGCCAAACATGGCCTTGGGTCTGTCTGCTTGTTTACCTTGGACACTAGGAGAGAGGTGAGAAGTGAAGGGTAGGTATCCAGTGTGGCTATGCGCGTCCCGCGAAAAGCATGCCCGAAAAAGTCTTGGCAATCAAAAGTGAGCAATGTCTTGGCAGGCCAATGGGAGCATCTTGGACGAAAAATCTCTCATAGT